TGGCAAAATATGGCTTCCTGGCTTAGAAAAATTCCCTCAAAACAAACTTGAAAAAAGAATCCCACCTTAAATGGCAAAATGAAAAGTGCTACATTTTAATGAGCTCGTTGTAAGTGAATTAGAAACATTCAAATGCAATTTACTTTAAAATAGCTGTGGGTGTTAAAATAAGGGACAGCTGGCAGTTTGGAGTCTCCTGATCCCAGCCAAAGCCAGGTTTGCCCCTATAAAATGTGCTGTGACTTACAGTGAATAAAATGTCACATTTTTTAAAAACAAAAGCTAAGATTCTGTGTAGAAGAGAAAACACCTGACACTTATATAAAGAGATACATAAAAAAGCAATATGGGAAAACTCTATTTTTTTTTTCTGAAACAAAAAAATCTGCCATTGAAAAGTAGAATCCCTATTTGAAACAGTTTTCTATCTACATCTAGTTCACAAAACCCTAAGTTTGTGATATCATGGGGCAATGCATAGCTCATAAAAGCCATGTTTTGAAGCCTGTATATGGGTGGAAGTTATGGTTTTGATGCAACATTCTAAGTGCTTTAGATCACATTAACTCTATTAATCCTTAAGGCAAGGCAACTCTAGGCGGTAGGTGATATCATTCTTCCTACTTCATAGCTGAGAAAACTGCGATGTAGAGAGATTCAGTGGTCACATGGTTAGCGTGGAACAGAGGAAGGATTTGAAGCAAGGAACTCGGGTCCCACAGACCATGTGCTAATCACTCTGATATATGGTCTCTCATTAAAGGGCTCCAGGGAATATCTAAAAGTGATCAGATAATGTAACCACAGAAGGAGAAAAAAGAAATGTTTTTGATAACTAGTTTTTATGTTGCATAAAAGCAGCAAATACGATATTCTCTGCTGTGATGACGAAGTCAATATAACAGTAAACCTGATAGCAAAATGATTAAAGTAGGTCCCAGGAAATGGAAAATACATCAGGATTCTTCAGACTTCTTCATGGGTCACCAATGTTCTATAATTATTTGAAAGCTCCCCTACCAAAGGTGGGATATAGAACAAATAAATAATTGTCTTTCAAAAAGTGTACCAGTAAAACCTAAGAATTCAAAGGCTCTCATCTGAGAAAATGCCTCTATTCGAAGCTTTCACTGCTTTTTAATTTAAAATTTTCAGTTTGTAAGAGTTTCTTCTGTGATATTATAATTGTGTTCCTGGCTATTCCTTTTTGTTTTCTAATTTGCCTTTTTTGAACAAGACACAGTTTTGCCAGTCAGCTGGATTTGTGGCGCCCTTCCTACAACATGCACGCCTTGTCTTTATAGGCATGTGAGCGCGCACGCACGAACACACACACACGCATACACATGCCCCATACCCTATATGCTCAGCACACTTTATCGCCACGCTATCTCTCTCCCTTTGGGTCCAAACAAGTATGTTCCTGTCCCAGATTCTTTTTCCCAATAAAACTATGTACTTCCTCCCCAGAACTTTACTTAATAATTTTTAGGGCTCTCATTGTTTTGGCCCCAAAGACTGAAACGTCCTCAGTGGATCCTGAACAACCTCTAAACCTCCCTTTTGTAAGACACTTTCATAAAACATACAACTCTGTTTTACCATGGAAATAACAACTGAGTCACTCAACTTCCAGTATGTCTGGCATCCTAGGCAGGAGGTAGGTGGCAGGTAGGAGCGTGGCTGATAAGTTTTTCATCTGTGAGGAGCACCTGGCATACTCCAGAACAAGACTCCCATCCTTGTTCTTCTTCATCTCATCCTTCTCCCACACAAGCATCATTCAATTCAGTGGCGCTGTATATTTAGTCAAAATATTTAAATTTAATGTTATTTAGAATTTTGGTTTGAGCACAATGTTCATTTGGGATAAGTAGATAACTCTGGCTATTCATACATCATTTACTAAAGGGAAGCAAGCACTGAATAGTCCGCAGAATTACCCTGAGAAGCAAGGGGTGATATTCAGAATAGTTAATAGCTGGTACGACATGGGCACACAAAATCAGAAGGATCCCTTAAAGTGTCAGGGCTTAAGGGCTTACATTTTTAGTTGCTGGGTTGTGAGGAAGGTGATGAGCGGTAGGAAAGTGGGCAGGGTAGGGGTGGTTGCACTTGGGAAGTTCAGGGAAGCAGCATTTATCAACCAGTTAAGGAGTATTTCAGCAACCATATGGCCACATCACTGGCTCCGGGCTGAGTATACCACCCTGTAGTGAGGTTCATCATGCTCTAACTATAATAGCTGGGCCCCCATCTCTCTGGAATCGTGTTTAACAGGAAGAAGAAAAGCTAACTTGCAATTAACTTGCATGAAAAATCACCTTGCAGATATTTCCTAGCTTATTAGATGATCATCTTCAATAGTTCTTCAACCCAGCATTCCCCAACATTTTTGGCATGAGAGACCAGTTCCATGGAAGACAATTTTTCCATGGGTAGGGGTGGGTAGTGGAGCTCAGGCGGTGATGCTAGTGATGGGGAGCAGAGGGGCTGCAAATACAGATGAAGCTTTGATTGCCCACCTCCTGTTGTGTGGCTCCCCCTCCCCCTTCCTAAATTTCATGGAAGACAATTTTTCCAGGGGGAGCTGGGGAGGGCAAAGGAGGGTGCAGCCTGGTTCCTAACAGGCCACAGACCAATACCAGGCCTTGGCTCCGGGGTTGGGGACCTCGCCTTTAACCTTATCAAAATGGATTTGTTAAAAGATCTCTACTGAATTTCAGCCCACTGCATCCCACTTTGGACTGCATTTGACTGGAGTTACTGACTGACAAGGAAGTGGTGCACTGGTGCACGGCCCTAATATGCTGAGGGACTCACTCTGGCAGCTGCTACCACCTGTGGGGACCCTTGATGATGTTCACACAGCTTTTCTGGGTGACATATGATGCTCCCTTGAATACTCCTTGAGGTGAACAAGAGGACCACTCCCCCCAACCCTAATACACACACACACACACACACACGCGCACACACACGCACACATACACACAGCTCCAGCTCTTCCTTGGGACTGCATCCTGCTTGTATTTCCATTGCAGGGACGTCCTATTCCATGGGGGGCTCCCCAAAGCCTTCCAGGAGCCTTCAAGCCAGCATTTCTTAACCTTGTCATGCCAGGGCCCCTTTGGCAGGCTGCTGAAAACCATGGACTCCTTCTCAGAACAAGGTTTTTAAATGCACAAAATAAAATACATGGAGTTACAAAGGAAACCAATTATATTGAAATAGTTAACAAAATGTTTTTAAAATTTTGTGCTGTAGCAATATATATGCTTCTTTATTGACAGGCAAGATCTAGCTGAGGGTCTAATAACTGCTGTACTTTGAGATATCTGCAACAACGGTGATGTGATGTAAAAAGCCTATGGTTTCTACTGGTGACTAAATCATAGATATTTATCCTACTGCCAATGTGGTTTGTTACCTACATTCATAATAGGAAAAAATGGTAAATGTCAGTTAGAAGTTAGTGAAAATAAAAATATAAAATTTTTTCTCCTCCAAGTTCACAGTACCCTTGAATTAATTCTTCTCCCCTGGTTAAGAAGCCTTGCAAGACTGGGCAAGGTGGCTCACACCTGTAATCCCAGCACTTTGGGAGGCCGAGGCAGGAGGGTCACTTGAGGCTAGGAGTTCAAGACCAGCCTGGTCTCTCTACAAAAAAATTTAAAAAATTAGCCAGGCGTGATGGTGCATGTTTGTAGTCCCAGCTACTCCTAGCTACTTGGGAGGCTGAGGCAGGAGGATTGCTTTGGCCCAGGAGTTTGAGGCTGCAGTAAGTTGTGATCTGTAATCACGCCACTGCACTCCAGCCTGAGCCACAGAGACCCTGTCTCAAAAAAAGAAAAGGAAAAAAAAAAAAAAGGCCAGGCGCAGTGGTGCATCTAGTCCCAGCTATTGTGGAGGCTGAGGCAGGAGGATCACCTGCACCCAGGTGTTGGAGGTTGCTGTGAACTAGGCTGCCACAGCACTGTAGCCCGGGCAACAGAGACTCTGTCTCAAAAACACAAACAAAAACAAAAAAACCCTGCAGGTTAAGGTTGCCCCGAGGGCCAACATCTTACTGGAGGCCTTAGAGGTCACCACACCCCATGCCCTGGAGGCAGGAGCCTTCATGCCACCCACGCAAACCTCAGATCTGCCTCTTGGCGCAGAAGTTCTCCCCACAACTAGTTCTGGAAGTTTGGGGCTAGTTAAGAAGGGCAACACCTGAGCGCCACTTGAAATAGCCCATCCTTTACTGCTGAGGGGCTCTTCCCAGCCTCAGAACACCTGGAAGCCAAGTTTTAAATTTCTTATTGCATTGTGACTTCTCCCACAAGCTCTCCTTGTCACCTGGGCACAGATCCCTGGGCGATCTGAGGGCAAAGCTGAGCTTCAATTTTTTTCATCTGCAGAAAGAAAATACCCACCTCACAGGATTGCTAGGATTCAATGAGGTAATGGCTGTGTTTGTAAATTGCACAGCATTTTGAAAGTGTGTGCTATTATCATTTTTGACAGTTAGGTCTTCGAGGACCCAGAACAGTCTATATAGCTCTAGTTCCCAAGTACTGGGCACCCCATAAACACCTGTAGAATGAATGAATGAAGTATGCGTTTGGACGCGGGCCCACGCCTGCAAGAACAGGCTGCTCCAGGCAATGAGGCCGGGCGCATCACTGGCACCTTTCTTTGCTAACAGGTAGTGAACGCCTTTCTCGCTCTGCGCCGCGCCGCACCACAATTCAAGCGCTTCTTTCCAGAGGGGGCGGCGGAGTGGGGCTGTTCTGCCCGGGGCTCGCCTCCCCGTGTCCCCGCCACTGCTTCCGGGCAGGTAAGGGACGGCGGGAGAGCTGAAGGGCCCGCGGCACCACAGTAGGGCCGGCCGGGAAGGTGCGGGCGGCGGGCCGGGCTCGGGCGCGCGAGGAGGGGCCAGCGGGGTGGGGAGGGGCGGGGCCGGCGTCCTCGTCACTTGATAAAACGCCTGCGAGTCTCCAGAGAACAACGGGCTCATTCAGCGGTCGGGAGCTGCCCGCGAGGGGGAGCGGCTGGACGGAGAGCGCGACCCGTCCCGGGGGTGGGGCCGGGCACAGTGGCGAGAGGAGGCGAAGGTGGCCGCGGCAGCAGCAGCAGCAGCGCGGCAGCCTCGGACCCAGCCCGCAGCGCAGGGCGGCCGCCGCAGGTCCCCGCTCCCCTCCCGGTGCGCCCGCCCATGGCGGCGGCGGGGCAGCTGTGCTTGCTCTACCTGTCGGCGGGGCTCCTGCCCCGGCTCGGCGCAGCCTTCAACTTGGACACCCACGAGGACAATGTGATCCGGAAATCTGGGGACCCCGGGAGTCTCTTCGGCTTCTCGCTGGCCATGCACTGGCAGCTGCATCCCGAAGACAAGCGGCTGTGAGTTCCCTGCCTCTTCCCACCCCCACCGGGGCGCCGGCCCGCGCGCAGAGAGGGGAGGGCGTGCCCTGTTCCCGCCCGCCCGGCGCGCCCGGAGTCAGCCGGCCGCCCTACCCTGCCCGGCCCTGGGCTCCGCCGGCCCCAGGGAAGAGCGGGGCAGCGGGGCGCGGCCTGGGCCGGGCGGGGCGCGCCCACCGCCCTGCTCAGCGCGCCCCCCCATTCAGCTCGGGAAGAACCCGAGGGCCGGCCTGGGCCCCGGGAGAGTTTACTTTTTTTTTTTTTAAACCAAGTGCTTCCCTCCGGGTCTTCCCTCCGGGCATGTTTGCTAGGATCCCGGCAGGTGGCACGCTTCGCTGAGCTTCACGTGTGTGTTTGGGGCTGGGGTAGGGTCTAGGGTCACCGCATCGCCGCTGTGTAGTTGCTGGGAGCGTTGTTCCGGGATGATCCAGGCCTTTCCCAAACTCACGGAAGACCTTGGGTCGCCCACCCCCTCTGCAGACTCACGCGCCCCGCAGAAGTTGGAAAGCCACTTTTCATGTGTCCTGCGTGACTTTCCCGGCAATGCGGGCGTTCCTGCAGGAGATACTTCCACACGCTTTTTTTTTTTTTTTAAAGATGAAATTAACCAAGCACCTGTTCTCAAGACTAGATCAGCTGAGTAAACAACTCTTTCTGAGTGGTGTGTCTGGCCACCCACCCAACTCCCCGAAGTGCTAGGCTGCACCCGGGACCCTCTGGGCCCCAGCGTTGGGCGGGCCGAGCCGGAGGGTTAAAGCAAAATGTCCGATCTGAGCCAGGACTTCGAAAACAAGGTTTGGTTGTGACAACTCCCCACCGTAGCGCACCTCCCAGGAGTAAGTGGAGACCGGCACTCTTGGCCTGTCCTTTTCTTTTTTAAGCAGTGTTTGGTTCCCACATGATCGGACTATTTAGGCTGGAGAGGGTATTTTGGAGCTTAGTGGCCTTAATCGCAGTGGGGCTGCATTCTTGATCGGTGCTACCGAAAAATACTCTGACAACAAAAGGTCTCCCCTCCCCACCCAGGCCTTTACTTGAACCGAGGTTTCCAGGACCAACGGACCGGAGAAAGCAAAGTGCAGCCGCAGTGAAGAGAAGACTTCGTTTTTAGGAGAGGCATATGGAATTTTAGAGCTGGAGGGAACCTCTTGGTTTCAGCAGTTAACAACTTTGGAATTCATGAATGTTGTGGGCCGCTGAATCTTAGAGTCAGATTTTTCTGACAACACCTGCTAGGTGAAGCAAAGAAATTAGCTGGGCCTGTGCAGGCTCCAGGCAGGTGGTCCGAGGCTGTAGGCCTGGCCAGCTGCTTATATTCTGCTTTCTCTCAGATATAATGGCCCTTGAGCTGTAAATCTGAAATGAAAGGTGGTTTCTGTTAACTCAGTGGATGACATTTAGTGTCTCTGAATCCTTAGTGTGTGGATATGTGTCCACCCACGTGGAGAATCTGAACTTGGTGCAGAATTGATTGTGGACCGGCAGAGGGAATTCATTCTCTTGGCGTTCTCTGTCTGCATCAGAGGCCCGCTGAAACTGGTGGCTTCTTTGAAATACTTGTTCACTCAAACATTGTGAAGGAGTACTGGGGCAAGAAATATACCTGTGATGGAGATTTGCAAAATGTGGCCGTAGCCAGAAATTTCTCTCGGGAAGGTTAGCAGTGTGTTTGCTAAAACTTGTTACTGCTGCTGGGCTTCTCTGGTATTAGAGCCGCTGCAGGTCCTCCCTAGGGTAAGGATAAGCCTGTGATTGGGGTCTGATGCTTCTGGAAATGCTCTTCTTAGGAGCTGACAGAAGGGAGCAGCTGATTAGACACTAGGATGGGGAGAGGCCCACCTAAAGAGGGCTGTATCTTTCCCTAGAGCCCAAAGGCAATAACTATACTCTGGCGGGGAGAGGGGGCTGTGGTTTATGTCTCATGCTGCTCCCCACCCTTCTGCGCTTCAGGAATAGCACTGGTCCTCCCAGGAGAACCAGCACACTCAGGCCATATCACATCAGTTGTCACCTTTGACAGTAAAGAAGGTGGGTGTAAATGATAGAGCCAGTAAGATTAAGATGACAGCTTCTGGTCTTATTCCTAAACTCTATGGAAATGCTCAGTGGGAATATTTCAGGGAACTGGCAGGAGAGAGACCTGAGCTCAGATTCCTTCTCAGCCTTTTAGCAGCTATTAATTTACTTTGAGCATTAGTTTCTCTGTAAAATGGACGTACTAGTGCTTAATAGGGTTGTTGTGAGGATTAAGAGGTAACATGTAAAATGCTTAATGCTGCCTGACATGGGTACTTGCTGACTAAATGGTTGCTGTTAATGATAAATTTAAAAGCAGCAATTGTGTTCCTCCTGTGTGTCAGGTACTGTACCAGGTGTTTTAAACATTCTGTGATTCTAAGACTGCCTAAGAGTAAAGACAAAGGTTATTGTTGTTTGGGTAATTGATATTTTAAACTCTCAGTCACATTTATGAAACCCATGTTCAAAGCAACTTAATTTCGATCAGTCTTATAACAAAAGTAAGTTTACTGAACACGGGACTTTGAGGCAGGAGAAGTATTTTTGGAATATTAAAGATGTGTGGAAATACCAGACAAATGCACTATCATAGAAAACACATCATAGATCTTTGTGGCTTAAGTTTTCTACAGTGTCATTTAAATATTTAGTAACATCTTACACTCTAGTTAAGATTTTATAACAGAATAATACTGTATCTGAGAGCCTCAAAACATGCTGAGTGTTCCTTAAAGCTTTGGAGACTATAAAACTGAACTAGATACTATAAAACTTGATCCAGGTTTTTAAGCTGCATATTAAAGAAATTTCAGATTCCAAAAGATTATCAGATGGTTGGCTGAGTGACTGAGGTCAGGTTCTGAGTACCTTGGAGTCTTTAATTTCTCTCAGGTAGTTAAGGTTGTGTCATCCCCAGAGGTAGTACATATGTGATGATGACTGTGGATATATCCATCATATGAATCATCACTCTTAGCTCTTCTGGGAAGAGATGGATCTATGTATGGCCACAGGGCAGAACCCAGAAGGAGGAGCAAATGTCTAAGAGATACTCTCATGGAACAATTCTAGTTTTCTCCCAACCCCCATTTTCTTGTCTTATGGGGGCTCTCTGATCACCACTATCTTCCAGTAGCTCTCCAGGCCCACTGTCACTTCTGTTCTATGACATTCTTGACTTTTCTCAGACTTGTGATGTTCCAGCTTTTAAAACCATATTTTCTGAGCTAGTGATCTAGTCCAACTGTCTCCCTTTACAGAGGAAGAAACTGAAGCTGAAAGTTGTGAATTGTCCAAAGTCTCACAACTGCTTAAGCAGAGTCTTAACAGAATCTGGATTTGAACTTGGTATTTCTGACTCATGCTCATGCTTTCTCTAAACGGAAAAGTCAGAAATGCCCTTCAGATTTAGAGAAATTGGCAAGCATTTGAATTTTTGGAAATGTATTAATACTATACAGGATTGATCAATTGAATCGTGTGCCATATGGATGGGTCAGGGCTATCTACTTAAATATTGGCGCCTGGATTCTCTTCCTATTGTCCCTTATTTCAACTGGCCTTGGATCAAGTTTTGGGTCCTTCTTTGCCAGCCACCTCCCCACCCCCATTTCTGAAAAAGCCCAGTGAAGTGTAACTGTAGCTTGCCAGGGATCAGAGCTGTATCCAGGATGTGTACCTAAGCACTTGCTTCCTTGCATTCATTCACTCAGAGTGCCATGTGGCCCAGGGCCATCTTCTAGGGATTGCTGGGTCACCTTGTATCCTGAGAGCAGAGAAAAAGCCAAAATGTGCAGGGATACTTAGAAAAAGTCTTAGAATTCTGCAACACAGCAGAAATAGACAAGTTTAATTTTAACACAGTCTAGTGTGAAACCACCCAGGTAATGACAGGGTTGGGGAAAAAGGGTCAACATATTCATATGGTATAAATAATTTGTTGGGAAAATCAGGTTAAATGTTCATAAGTTTCTGCCAGGCAAGGTAGCTCATACCTGTAATCCTGTCACTTTGGGATTGAGGCCAGGAGTTTGAAAACAGCCTGGGCAACATAGCAAGACCCCATCTCTACAAAAAAGTAAAAAACTTAGCCAGGCATAGTGCCACATACCTGTTATCCTAGCCACTGGGGAGGCTGAGGCAGGAGGATCACTTGAGCCCAAGAATTGGAAGTTATAGTGAGCTATGATCATGCCCCACTGTACTCCAGCCTGGGCAACAGAGCAAGACCCTGTCTCAAAAAAAAAGAAATCCTCCTCTCTACTATAATGAAGCAATCATTCTGTGTTCGTAGTTGTATAGACTTAGCATAACATATTAAGATTTAAGTTTTTATAACCAAATAGTACTAGAACTATGACACATGGTTCTCTAAGGACCTGGGCTCAACATATTAGTGTGGCATTTTCAAGAGGAACAATAGAGACACAACAGAAAATACCATCGTATACTTAGATGACAGGGCCAGTTGTGGCTGCAACACTGATTAGTGCTGAGTCACCCATCTTAAAGAATACAATCATATCTCAAGAACCAGTTTAAATTTCCCACCCAACACTACATCAATCTCTTCTTCCTTTATCTGTAGCACATGTGTCTGATAGTTCTGATGGTTTGTGTTTAACTGTTATCCACTGTCTTCAGAGGGTTATCTAATCTCTACCAACTGGATTACAGGTTATGTGAGGGCAGGGGTCTTATGCTTGTTTCTTTGCCTGATAGCACCTAGCATATGCCTTGCAAGTACAATGGAGTCATCATACACTCAATTTAACTTGTGAAATCAATTCTTTCTGCTGAGGGTAGACAGGGAGGAGTCTCTATTTAACCCTTTGCCCTTCCTTGCTCAGGCCTTGGTGTCTGCTCCCCCATGGGAAGGGAAGCTATAGCCTTAATGCAAAGAGACACACAAGAAGTCCTTGGTTTTTGGGTTAAGGGCCCAGGTCTCAGCTAAGGGATTTTTA